AATTTAAAAAAATGTTTTTTCGGAAAAAAGTAAGATATTATGCAAAATCATTAAAATTTTGTCTGAAAATATAAATTTATCCACTAAAAACGAGTATTAAAGGGTATAATTTAAAAAATTCTTACTTTAGCGGGTCGGTCAGGTCGAATTCGAATTCATTCAGGTTTGACCCATTTTTAGCGGGTCGTTTTGAGTTTGGTCATCAAAACCTTTACTCAAAACCTAGTATTTTCAGATCGAGTTTCGAATAAAAAACAAGACGAATCATTTTTTGTCAGTCTAAATAGAGTGCTCCGTAACAAATAATCGCTCCAGGGCTAGTTCTGAGGTTAGGCCTAAGGGGCATTGCTCATAGCCCACTCAAAGAGGAGTAATACTCTTTCCGTCCGGAAAAGAAGTTCTTATTCTACTCTTTTTTCCGTCTAGAAATAAAGTTTCCACTATACCTTTTCATACGCACTATTCCTAAAATACCCTTGGTCTTCCCTCTTTTTTCCAGTTTCTTTTTCTTTTTCTTCTTTCTCTCTGTTCCTTTCTCCGCCTCTCTCTCTCTCTTCCCCCCTCCCCCTTCTTTTTCTTCTCCTGGTTTTCTTCTTCCTCCTCCTCCTCCTTTTTTCTCCCCTTTCTTTTCTCGACTCCTGAGACAATTAGTATAGAGAGAACAGAGATTGGAAGAGACTTGCTTTGGGTTTTCAACTTCTTCTTATTCTCCAGAAAAAGGAAATACATGGAAATAAATAGCAGCAACTTTATTTGCAAGAATAATCCCCCAAGTATTTTGGAGTCCTTCTCGCTCGCCCGGATTGACGTGGCATCCTAGGCGTTGACTCCGTCGTATCATCCCTTTCCCGATCGGAAACGACCTTGTCCTCAAGGTCGATCATTGGGAACTCCTCCTGGAATCGGCGTCGATCCTCCCATGTGGCATCAGAATCCTCTCCACCTTCCCATCGTACAAGTAGCTCTTCGACTGGCTGGCCTTTTTTGAAGATGGTCCTTCTTCCTATCACAGCTTCCGGCCCGACTGCTGGTTGTTCCGCCATCATGTCTGGTGGCAGCATAGCTATTTCAGTTCCCAACTCCCCCTTAAAAGGTTTCAACAAGGATACATGGAAAACATTGTGTATCTTAGCAGTCTCAGGCAAAGCCAACCTATACGCCACCATGCCAATTTTTTCAGAGATTAAAAATGGGCCATAATAGCGGGCTGCAAGCTTTTGGTTCCTCCGATTGGCCACTGATGTCTGACGATAAGGTCGCAGACGCAATAAAACCCAATCGCCTACTTCAAATTGCAAATCTATACGCTTCTTATCAGCTTGCTGTTTCATCCTGTGCTGTGCTATCTCCAGATTCTTCTTTAATTCCTTCAACAAGTCATCGCGTTCACGTAATATTTCATCCACCAAACTTACCTTACTCTCGCCTGCTCGGTATGACAGCAGCTCTGGTGGCCTTTGTCCAAACAAAGCCTGAAATGGGCTCATTTGAATAGCTGAATGGTAACTTGTGTTGAGTGAGTATTTTGCCCATGGTAGAAAATTCATCCAACGGTTTGGCCTTTGGTGAGTGAATGCTCTCAAGTACTGCTCCAGTCCCCTATTCATCACTTCTGATTGCCCATCTGATTGAGGGTGGTATGATGTAGAAAAAGACAGCTTCGAACCACTCAACTTGAATAATTCTCGCCAGAACGTGGATGTGAATACTCGGTCCCTGTCCGTCACGATGTTCTTCGGCATCCCATGAACCTTGAACACTACTTCCATGAAAGTATTAGCCACTTTTGGAGCATCAAAGTCGGCTGGAAGCCCTGCAAACTGGGCAAATTTCGATAAACGGTCTACCACCACCATTATAACTGAGCAGCCTTTCGAGGGGGGTAAGCCTGTGATAAAGTCCATCGTCACGGCGTCAAATACACCTTCCGGAATAGGCAGCGGCTGAAGAAGGCCAGCCGGGGGTTGGGTGCTGTATTTAGTTGCTTGGCAGATTTCGCAACTTCGCACAAAGTTCTCTACGTCCCTGCGCATCCGAGGCCAGAAAAAAGAAGTCGCAATCCTCTTGAAGGTGCGTAAAATACCAGCATGTCCTCCCACCAAAGAAGAATGGTACTCTTGCAGAAGCATCGTCTTCAGTGTGGATTGACTGCTCAAGCAAATTCGTCGCCTGAAATACACAATCCCATCAGAAATTTCATACTGATCTGGAAGTGTACCTGTTTGGTGCATCTCATGGAGCTTCATTAAATCCATAAACTCTCTGTTTTCCTTTCTCACCACTTCCAACAAATCTGGAACCACACTTGTGAGGGCCAGCAATTCATTATCGCCGTCGTCGCGTCTCGATAAGGCATCAGCCACCTTGTTGGATGGCCCCGGCTTGTACTCGATTCGAAACTTGTATCCCATTAATTTCCTGAGGTAGAATTGCTGATCTGGGGTTTGCACGACCTGCAGCAAAAGTTCGCGCAAAATCTTTTGATCTGAACGTATCACGAATTCGCGTCCGAGCAAATATTGTAGCCATTTGCCCACAGCTTCGACAATTGCCAACAACTCTTTTTGATACGTTGATGCCACCCTCTGTCTTGGTCCTAGTTTTTTGCTGAAGTACGCCACCGGTTGTTCCTCCTGCAAGAGCACGGCTCCGATGCCTGTTGCACACGCATCTGTTTTAATGACAAACGTCAACTCGAAATTGGGCAATCTCAACACCGGTGCTTTCGCCATTAATTCCTTTAGTTGTTCGAAGGCCTCCGTCGTTGTAGTTGTCCACAGAACCCCTCTTTTTTCAAGAGTTCAGTGAGAGGGGCGGCAACCATTGAGTAGTTTCGCACAAAACAGCGATAATACTTCGTAAGGCCGAGGAATCCTCGCAGTTGTTTGCTGGTTTTGGGTTGCGGCCAGGCCTTCATGGCCTCAATCTTGGATTGGTCCATCAACAATTGCCCATTCTCGATTAGATGCCCTAAGTATTCAATTGTTGGGACTCCAAACTGACATTTACTCCTCTTCACATAAAAGTGGTTAGTGCACAACAGATTTAAAATAACCTCCAAATGGTCACAATGTTGCAAAATATCTCGGCTATACACAAGGATATCGTCAAAGAATACGATGACGAATTTGCGTAAAAATTCCGAGAATAACCTGTTCATGCAGCTTTGAAAGGTCGA